CCCTAAACCCTAAGCCCTAAACGAGGTCCTTTCTCAGCTCAGGATCTGGACAAGTCAGGGTTTGCGGCATAGCACCGAGAGCTTCCGGTTGCCGGTAGAGTTCAGGGAGACTTTGAGGGTTTAGGGCTTTTCATGGTTATAGGGTTTTAGGGTTTAGGGTTTTTCATGGTTTAGGGTTTAGGGTTTAAGGTTTAGGGTTTAGGGTTTATGGTTTTTTCAGGGCATACGATGGAAACCTGAATAACTTTTAAGGCCACCTACTGCTTGGGCTCCTTTTCCGATGTGTGGGGTAACATACTCCAAAGCCTATTCCGGCTATTAAGGTCCCCCCCCACCATAAAAAACCTTCTAGCAACCCCAAAAAGAGCAATTATGGCAACCTGTCAAAAGAGCCTTATTATTAACCCTTAAACCCTTAACCCTTAAACCCCAAACCCCTAAACCTACCCTAAACCCTAATTCTGATGATTAGGCGAGGATTTGCCAGGGATGAATTCCTAGCCGAGGCCCTACCTAAAAATCGTCGGGTCATGAGCAACCCTAAACCCTAAACCCAAAAAGTTTAAAGGTTGGGTATTGGGGAACCAAGTAGCAGTCGATGGTGGAATGTTTTGGCTTCCGCAGCCAGGGACCTCTGAATGCTTTAAAATTTTTGGGTTCTTATATTATGTTGATAGTTTAACCTTGTATTGCCCTGGCTTATTGGGGAAGTAAGGCTGTGGAATCAGGTCCCCCAAAACCATGATTGGGAGTGTCTGTGGGAGGCCTAGTATAGTGGCCTTAACAATTCGAATAGAGTTTTGGGGGTTCCTGATTGTGGTTAAAGCATAATGGGCCCCAAACCCTATTCTAATTATTAAGGCCTCTATAGTATACATGGAACCCCTCCGTGGTATTGAAGGGATCGTCATCCTTAGGGTTCAGGGTTTCGGGTCTAAAGTTCAGGTTTCAAGGTTTAGGGTTTAAGGTTCAGGGTTTAGGGTTTAGGGTTTGGGGTTCGAGGTTATCGGACTTTTCGTGGGGCTTCTGGAGTCTTTGAGCAGTTTGAGCAAGTCCCGAATGCTGAGGAACGGCCACGGAAGTGCCGGCGTGGCTTACGAAGAGATCTTGAGCTGCACCCCAAACACGAGGCATTGTGGAGGAGACGGCGGGTGCTCTGGAGCGACGGCAGAGCTGGCTTTCCAATATGTGAAGGAGACGGTTTTGAGGTCTAGGGTTCGGGAATTAGGGTTGATCCTTATATAGTACTTAAACCCGAAACCCACGGTTTAGGGTGCATGACTACTTTATTTTGGATGTGGGACATTGTAAGCAACAGCGACAGAAGGGGTTATGCTTTCTGGGCTTGGCGCTCCGGCTGAAAGGAGCAGGGCAGCAGGGGCCTCATCAGTATAGGGCTATAGTTCGGGAAACTACGCTTGCTTCTAGCCCACAAGGTCCTTCTCATCTTAAGAAGTTTCGAGTGGTTTCAGGACAGCGGCGTCGTAATGAGGACGCCGGAGATGGCAGCCGGAGGAGTTTGGGGGGAACGTTGTGGGATGCAGCCGGGGCAGCGGATCTGGACGGATGGCTTCGTACGCGTCACGCCGAACTTAGCGCAACCGCTGGTGCCTGCCACGCGAGAGAAATGTTGTTTTGTTCTATTGCTTCGTAGCTTCTGGTGTTGGCAGGTACAGGTCAAAAGATGGAACTCAGAACAGCTCTGTGTCAAGTCCTACAGCGCATACCCTCAACAACAACAAGCAACTGCACCTACGAAAAGCCCTGGATCCAACATCCCTAATCCTGGCATGCCACTTCAGCATCCTGAGTTGATCAAGAGCTATTGGAGTCCTTGTGGGCAGCGAAATGTGATATAACAGATCCGAAATCCATAAATCCTAAACCCCAAACACTGCGCACGAAACCAGATTTAGCGCTTTGGGCTCAGCTCTACAATAGGCTAACCCCAAACCCTAAACCCCTAA